AAAATGCCTGAAAATTGGTGATAGTGTTAAACTTATATTTCTTTATAAATTTACTAATTTTTATAATTTTTTATCGATTGGTTTTTGAGAAAAATGGTAAAGAATTTCGTTTTGGGGGTCTTAAGTTTTCAATTTAAATTACTAAAATTATTAACTTTAGAAGATAAAAATTTTGCTTCAAATATGCTCAAGATTATATATTAATTCTAATTATGTTTCAAAAGTACTCTATGACATGAAAATTCAACCAAAATCTATAAATTAAAAAAGTCGGTACAGATATTTTCGAACTTTTTAATTTGTACACTTTTATTGAATTTTCTCTGCATAAAGCATTTTTAAAGCAAAATTAAGGTAATATTTATCTTTTTTAGTTGTATTTAGTAATATTTTATGCATTTATGATCAATTTATATTAAAATCAGATATCTGTACCCACTTTTTTAATTTGTACTCTTTTTGAATTGAGCATTTTTGAAGCAAAATTCATTTAAAATGCAATAATTGGTAATTTTTTCATATTTTTTATTAATATTTATCTTTTTTAGATGTATTTAAGAATATCTGTTTTTTTAATCAATTTATATCAAAATATATGATTTTCCAATGGAGTACCTTGAACCAGTAGTATGGGCAATAAATAACAATGCCAAATAACGAGTAGGAAGAAAGGAGAAGAATTATTTTTTTTCGCGCTTAATTTTTCATAAACATTTAATTTCTTTCATTAATTTTTTTTTTAAATTGGATTTTGTTCAGTGTAGCGAAGAGAACGAAAGCCACAAAAAATAAATATATTAAATGTAAGCTATATTAAAAAAGATTTTATAAATAAAGGTAAATTTAAAAAATATAGGTTGTTTAAAAATTGAGTAAGGATTTTATAAAAACAAATGTATAATAATAATAAGGAAGGTTTGCTGCAAAAATTTAGATATTTTTTTAGTTGTAGAGATCATTAGAACCGAAGTTATAAACCTTCAAAAAGTGCTAATGATCTTTTTGTCCACTTTTACCTAAAATAAATAAAAAACCTGACGTGCTAGAAAAAAACTAACAGCGGATTTAGAATATGCATAAAAAACTGTCTTAGAACATGTTTATTTTATTTTCTCCCAAAAAATCAAGTCAAAATTTATCACATAGTGTTATTACTTCTTACTCTTCATCACTAAATATTAAATCTAAAATAAATTTGAAAATTAGTATAATAAAATAAAATTAACCAATTCCATTGAAAATAAAAATGGCAGATCCTTGAGTTGTATTGTAATAACAAAATTTGTCTGGGTTATTGATAAACTCGGACATAATATTTAATGAATATTTATAAATATATTTTTTTATATATATATATATAATTTTTTATTATATAGTCTTAATATTTTTTAATTTTATATTTAAATTATGCTCATATGAAATAAAATAAATTTTGCATTCATATTTTTATTTATAATATAAAAAGCACTAAATAAAAGTATATCAAAATGTATCTTAAAAGTATCTAAAAACAGTTACAGATACATCTAAAATAATATCTATAAATCTATCCAGATACAGATACGACATTTTTATATCTAGATACTCTAACAACTCTGATATACACATAGATAGAAAATGATTGATACCATTTAGAATTTATTTTTAATGACATTTTTTGAAATTATAATCTAATCACTATTATTATAATCAAGGATTTTATATTTTAATTGTTGAACACAATTTGAAGTATAAATTTATATATTATAGAAATAATTAACTTTTGTATTATATATAAAAGTTTTAATATAAAAATGATTTCTTTAAATCTACTATACCTAGGATTTTATATTTTTATTTACGAATTAAAATGCTATAAATGATAAATTTAATATTTTTATAAAAATATTTAATATAAAATAATGATTATTGAATTAAATGAATCTGTAAATATTATAATATAAATATTAAAATTGAATCAAATATGCATTTGCAAAATGTTTGTTATTTGATAAATTATTTTTTTGCTATTATCAATATAATAAAATATTATCATCTGTAATAATTTATCAAGAACTTCCTTTATTTTTACAAAGTTTTCACGATGATATGCAGCAAGAAATTAATGAATATTTAACAAATTATAGTGATAATAATAATAAAAAAAAAGGCTGAAAAACATAACAACAAATTATTTTTAATATGAAAAAAATACATATAATGTGATACAGTTAGAGGTCTGCAAAGTAATTTTTTCGCAGCCTGAGCCCCAATTTTAAAAAAATTTTTTGTGAACTCGACCACACATTTTTTAGTCCGACCCGAGCCCGAATAAAATTTTACAATTTGTGTTTGAATATTATAATAACCAAAAAAATTTTATGTGTATTTATTCATCGCCACCTTAAATAAAAGCTCATTTGATAGCCATAATCTAATCAAGATATATATTATTGGATTTGATTTAATTTGTAAAATATATATAAAAAAGTTAAAATATCGAATTTAATTATTGCGATTATATGAAAACAACATGATTTATGTCGAATGTAGATGATATAAGTTAATATAGAGACTAAAAAAAATAATAATCAATATCATTATCAAAAGTATAACAAAGCGAATAATTATAATATATAAATAATGAGTAGTCCAGTTTATTTAAGAGTCCTTTTCTCTTCAAAGGCCCTACCAGCAGTTGAAAACGCTCTTTTACTGCTATCCGACGAAGCTAGGATAGCTAGGAATTTAAGAGTCATTATGGTTTATCTTCCACCAATTTAAAATATTATCATCTTCAATATATAATTTAGGATCTAGGTATTTTTGAAGTTCGCCAGAAAACGCATTGCCAGCCTCCCATAAAGAGAAATACAAAAACGGATCTGCCTCATTAATTTCTTAAGGAAAAATATATTCATAATATAATAATAATTTTAAAAGATATATATTTACTTTAATATTTTTTAATTAATAATTTTATTATTAATTTAATGAACCTTTATTTACTACTCTATCAGTTGAGTAGGAGCTAGATGGTGAGTTGGTATTTATAGATTTTTGCCTAATCATATATATATTGATTTTTTCTGCATGTTAATTTGTTGCCACAAATCTTTATTATGTTCTCGGGATAACATTTTCATTTCCCGAAATTTGCGCACATAAATGTCGAAATTTGGTGGAATATTTATATTTGGAATTTATCCACCCTTATTTCCCGGCATCTTTACGATCTAATTTATATTTCTTCATATTGGCTCTAACTTTATAGCTCCATTGGAGTTTTGGCCTTCCTCTTTTACATTTGCCCATCACTTCCAAACTCTTAACCTTATTTCCTATATAGTTTATAGGTCTACTCATTGTGTGCCCATACCACTTAAGTCTGTTCATATTTTAGTCTTAATAGGCACTACCTTTAAACTTCCTACTATTCTTGTACTTTGCACCTTATCCTTTCTTGATACCACAGCAATCATCCTCAACATGTTTCCAAACTATATAGAATCCATAAATTTTTCCCTTCAATTTATGTGAGATTTTTTTTTCAAAGAGCACTCCTGATAAAAATCTCCACTTTAACCACCCTTGATTAATTTTACTCTTTATCCCTTTCTATATTGTGCCGTTTGTTTGTATAGTGGAGCCAAAATATTTTCAGCTTTCAATTGCCGATATCTGCCATTCATTTATATCAATGCTCTCTATTTCATCTCTATCACCATATACTCCTTTTCTCTTTAACTTTTAGTCCGTGCTTTTCTAGGATATTTATCCAACTCACTAATCTTTCCTTTCATCCTTGGATTCGGCGAGTATCACAATATCATCTGCAAATATCATATTCCACGGGACTGTTTGCGGTATAGACTGTGATAATACATCTATTACTGTTATTAGGGATGTACCGATATTTTTTATCTGATTAGATCAGGCCGATATTTCACTCGTTATCGGCAATTATTATAAAATTTTCCTATCAGATCCGATAAAAATGGCGTTTTTAACAAAAATAAAATGTTATAAATTTTTTTTTAAAGTTATATCTATAAAATTCGAAATGCATTTTTATGTTAATTTTTTTAATAATAATTAATTAAACATTTTGCCATATTGTTATTTTCTTGCGCATTCTGTTTATAAAAGTGTGCGATAATCTCTCAGAATCTGTTTTTAGTGAAACTGGTGATATTGACAGTTGTCATCACCTCAGGCTGACCTCTGATAAATTGGAAATTTTGGTATTTCTAAAAAGAAATCTTCGATATATTAATGTTAAATATTTATTTTAATATAACTGATCATTATATTATATTTAAATGACATAAGTTATGGTATAGTTAGATTATAGATGTTATACTAATAAAAAGTATATTAAAAATTATTGGTATATTTACAGAATACAAAATTAGATATAATATCGGATAAAGTAAAGTATGTAATAATATCATTTTAACTATGCAATGCAATATACTAAAATATAATCCATAAAATAGTTTGGTATATGGTTGTTTAAATTATAAAATAATAATTGAAAATAACATGTTATTCTGATTTTTATGGATAAAATGGACAAATAAAAAATGATATGGTTTTATAATTGAGATTATGAATTATAATGAGTATTTAGGATATTTATATTAATATTTTTCGGGTCGGATTTCAGGTCGGACAGTTCTTACAACCCGATCTAGCCAGAATCCGAAAATTTTATTTGATATCCGAGGACCGATTCAGGTCCTACTGAAAGCCCATGCAGTTCTCTAACTATATATATAAAAACGAGCCGGCTATTTTAACAAAACTGGCCGGATTCAAATAGAAGTTCTGGATCATTGCGTATTTAGATAGAATAACCAAAAATTATTTATTGATTCAAATCCGATTTGATATCAAATATTCATGAATACCTGATGAACATTTTTCTTTTAAGATTTTTAGGAATAAATATTTTTTTTAAATAAATTTAAGTTTGATTAAAGGGATAAAATTAATGTTACTATTTTTTAATTAATCAGAGAAGATTCAGTTCTGTTGCGCAAAGAAAACGACACGATACTCTCGAATGATTGTTATATAGACCTTCAACTCCCTAATAACGATACCTGGCATAAAAATATATTTTACACGGTTGTCGAAGATAATATAAAAAATTCAGAAGGTGATCATAGTCAAGGTGAAGAAATAATCTTCGCAGAAAAAAGGATGGATCATAAATCCGCAAAAGATGATTTACCAAATCTAATTTGCTCCGATGATCAAAAAAAACTTCATCAAAAATTGGTTGATAAAACATCGAATAACGAATTTGAAACTTTGCAAATTACCATGGTAAAGAGGAAAAAACGATTCTGCGGAAGGACTTCTCAAATATCTGACTAATAAAATATTTTTAATAATGTAAAATATAATATAATTATGTAAAATATAGAATATATCCTTTTAAAAAAGTGGCTTTTAAATAAGTTATTATATTATGATTTGTTAATTTAATGTCTAATAATTTTGAGAGTATAATTTAATATATTTTTAAACCTTAATATAAAAATTCAACCAAAATTTGCAATCGGTCAATGGTAAAATTCAATTTTAAGTTTTTATGACACTATTCACTTTATTAAGTATATGTAACAACAAATATACAACATATATTCATAAATAAATGTATTTATATTTGGTAATATTTTTATTCATTCTTGAAATATTGTTTCATCTTCACTTTCTGTGGCAGAGTTGTTTTCTTGTTCTATTGAATAATTATTTTCTAATCGTAAAATATGATAACTGCTAACTAATTTTCCCATAGTCAAAGTTTTCAATCGATTTCGGTTCTTTATATTACTAGATCAATTTCTTTCTGAAAAATAAGTTGAACTTGGAAGGGTTAATATGATATTTTCTACTTGGTGGACTTCCTTTCCACCAGCTTGATGCCTAAATCTGATTAATGGTTATGGACTCAAGCGCATTATTCCACATATTTTATATACTCTATCACCTAAGATGTCGTGTTTATAACCTTGCAGAATTCCGGTTCTTTCGTCATATCACAAGCTTGTATCATTTATCATGAAATATTTTTCTTGATAATTTTGATCTTATAAGTAGGCAGCATTATGAGAAGTTGTATTTGTATCATTGTTTTTTATTTCAAACATATTTATAAAAAATTCCTTCTGATAGAGAAAATATTGGGTTTTGGATTGAATAAAATATTGTTTCTAAAGATATCATTTAATTCTTTATTTGGGACAGAGAACATTTATCCCCTTGTACATTTAAAATCTTTTAATTTTTTTTTATCTAATTGTTTTTCGTCTAAGCTAAGATATGATTATTACTTTGTGCCGTTACTTAATGACCTTCCTAATGAATTAAACTGTCCCTATCCGGAATAAATTTTTTTTACTTTTATTTTTAGTTAAAACAAATTGACACCGAAACTTTAATTAGTCTATTTATTTTTTTCTTAAACAAAAATTATATTTTTAACAAAATATTATAAAAAATTAAAATTACAATTTCAGAAAAATTAAAAATTATTCCAAAAATTAAATAATAAAAAAAATTACAAATTATATTTTTTAACTCCTCTACTCATCATGAGTCTTCTCTTTCTTAAAACAAATAATTCCGCGTATATTATAATATTAATCCGCGCTAACTAAAATATAAAATACTTTCACGACAAAAAAAATAATATTATGACCCCTCCCCACTCCAAAGTTCCCCATTAGAGGGGGTAAGGGTCTGTAGTCTTCAAACAACTCATCTAACTCCCTCGTGCTCACCCCAACCTCCAGAAATTTTTCCTCCGTTACTGCCTGCCTTCCGGGCGCGTCCCACCCCACCGGCTGCCTCTGCGATGACGTGGAGGGCAATTCAAAGGCTCCCGATCTCCTTGGTGGCACCGGCCGTGGCGGCGGCATCGGTCTTGTAGGCATCATCTGCCGGGGCGGCGAGGTTACTCTCAATATATCCGGTCCTCCTTGAGGCGCCATTGTTCGGGGCTGGAAGCCTTCCCAATTCTCCATACATTTCTCGTACAAATTTCCTTGAGGGCAGTCCCGCCGCATATGCCCCTCCACTCCGCATCGAAAACAGGGTCCTTTGTTCACCTCGTCTGCGTCATTAGTCGGGGTTCTGCACTCCGAGCCCGAGAAGTTCCTGGATCCTGATCTTTGGACATCTTTCTCCACTCACTCACCAATGGCTCCATGTCGTTGCTAATTATAGTAGTTCGAAGCATATGCGACCCTAAGTCTATTTAACTGACACGACAATAATAGGTTCATATATAAATTTTATTACCCCTACTAACCTATACCGTATTTAACCTTACCCACCACTAATATATATTTTTCGGAATTATTATTTCCTACAATATGATCTTTATCTACAAATATATATATTTTTTCAAAATAAAAACCTCACATTTCATTTCCTCAATTCCAAAAACTATGGGAAAAAAAAATAACAAACTTCTTAACCCTTTCCTACAAAAATCTAAAATAATCCATACTTATCGGTTATCTATGGGCATTTTATTTGAATCCCTCAAGAATAACTCCAATATGTTAGCGAATACTATTTATAATCTTAATTCAATAACCAAACTGATTTTTAATTCAACACAAAACTTAATGAATTTTACTTCAAAACAAACTTTTTCTATTCCCATCACCAACCCCATCCTTTACAAATAAATCACTTTCTCGTTTTGTTTTATGAAAAATTTCTTAATATTACTAACATTCCCTTAACCTTACTCTACTCCCTTTCGTTAAACATAAGTCACATTTAATAACAAATTTTCTTTACCAGAACAACATTAACACAAATTTATATTTTCAAAATAAAATCTGATCCAATTTATATTTTCCCCTTTTTTTAAAAAAAACAAACACAAAAATGCAATCTGATCCCATTTTTATTCTCATTCTTATTCAAATTAATCTTCCATTTATACATTAATTAAGCTTACTTTAAACTATTTTATATATCCTATTATTACTATTTATTTTTTTTTACACACTTACCAAAATTGACCAAACTACAAAAATGACCTACATACCCCTTAAACTTACCTTATACTACTTTAAATATTTTTTCCATTACTAATTTTAAAAAAAAATATATGGTCAAGAAAAAAAACTATAAATCCCTAACGGTTTGCTCACCTTTCATTCCACATTTACACCCCAAATTATTTCAATATACATGTTTGGATATATACTTTATTTATTTAAAAAAAATAATTTTTGTTTTATTTAGTTCTTAATTTAACAATGTTTCTACAAACATGAAGCCTGCAATAAAATACAATAATATTCATTTAATAAAATATAATATATAACTTTGACTATAAGAGTACACTAATTTGGAAAATTAAGAATCGAAGTCCCTAAGTAGTCTAAGACTCTCAGGATAAGAGGTACTCTGAAACATCATATTTTTTCTAAGCGATTACAATATAATTTAAGGAGGAATATATTCATATACAATTAAATAATTATGAAGAAAATGTTACCAATTTTTCCTTACAATTTGATTATAATACACAATTTATTTATTATATAGAAAAAAAAATGTTACCAATTTCTTCCCCATACCATTTGAATTTACCTATATAATTTAGCATTTATACCAAAGAAATTTTTTCTCTTTTTACTACCAATTACATATATATATTTTATTTATTATTTTTTTTTTAACATCCCCATTACCATCCTCCGTAAGACATCCCCTTGACCCTCATCCGTGACCTTGACCCCATTAAAAAAAAAATTTTTATGTCCATCCAGCCTGAGCTCTATTGCTGCTCCGGGTCGACCCCTCTACGTAATTGGTCTTGATGCCTCATGCCCACTTTTCCATCCTGAAACTGGACCTTACTCAACTTCTTCCCCACGTTTTCCATCACTACTCCGAACTGCCACTTTTTCCTTTCCCATATACTCGGGCCCACACTGTTTGTCCCACCGTGAACTTCACTTTATTCTCCTCCTTTCGTTCCATTTCTGGCCTATCTAACCCCGGCTTCAGCGTCCACATGGCAGAAAATTTGATAGAGGCAAACCTCTCCAAAATCTACCCATACCCACCTAAAAAAAATCCCGCGGCTTCGGCCCTGAAATTTACAGACCTACGATGGTATAGTGATTTTATTTAAAAAATCTTATAATAAGCCACCATTTATAACCTTACAACATAATTCTATTTACAATCTTTCAAGCCTATTTAGGGAAAAAAATTTTTTTAAATTTTTAGGTAATAATCAACTTATATTTAAATGCAATCTTTTCATAATTTGGTTGATATTCACTTTATTTTCATAAAATATATATAAGTGAATTAAATGAGATAACATATTAATATTTCTATAAAAAAGATCTAAAATATTGTAAAAAATATAAAGACGAATAAATTTAAAGAGGTATATTTAACTTGTTTCCACATATTTATATTACCTTTTAATTAATTAAAAACATGTATTGTAAATAGAGCTATTATATAAAATATTGAAATAAAATGAATTATAGTATATTTTGCATTGAAATTATAAAATGTTAAATTAAATTTACATATTTTAAAAGCGTATATATTCGCTGTGAAAAAGATACATTACTTATTTTATTAATAATCTGAGATGTTAATGCAAATTGTGTTATAATATCATCAATTGTAAATTTTTCAAAAACATCAATTTCGCTGGATATTAACAGTAAATTTTCTAAAAATGGGTCCGAAATTTTATTCCGCATTCTAGTTTTGTTAATTTTTACTTTACTCATGGCTCTTTCGGCTGAACAGGAAGTTGTAGGAAGGGTTAATAAATATTTATATAATAAATTTAAATGAATAAGAATTTAATTGATTTAAAAGTCAGTATGGTAATATAAAAGAATATTTTATCCATTTTTTTATTTTGGTCACGATTTCGCTGTTGATATTTTCTTCGGTAGTTTGATCGTTTGCAATACCTTTAATTATATACAATTACAAATAAAATATCAATAAATTACTTTTATCAATATATAACGCGTCATTCTTTTTAACTTTCAATATATCTTCGCAAAAAATGATTGATTGAGACTCCAAATATAAAGAGCGAAAATCATTATATTCATCAACAATGTTTTGGACATCCAATTGATAAGCATGAAAAATTTCGGATATTTGCCATCCTTCTATTTTTTCATTATCCATAATTCCAACGGGAGTAAAAATGGATATTTGTGATAAAAAATTTAAACAATCATAATTAAATCGAACAATTAGGTGGTTAATTATTGTATTTAGCACAGGGAAAAATATTTCCGTTCTATATCTATAACAATAAATAATAATTTAAAATTTTTTAATTTATTCAACTTGTTTTTATTCTGTTCAACATAATTATTGAATTCTGTTTGATCCAATTTGAATATTGATTTCATATTCTACAAATCAGTTATTACATTATTCTTTTTCAAAAAACTATTAGATAAGGAATGTAATTTTAAAAATATATTGTCTCCATTAGCTATATTTTAAAATTATTTATAGAAATAGTAACTAATATTAACCTTTAAGTCTTTGTAATTTATTTTTTATATGTTGTATTAATTTGGTTACCATA